ATCCTGGATGGTTCTGTACCACACCTTTGCAGTAAAAACGCTTTCAATATACAAATATAGTATACTTGGTAAACCTATATCTAGAACTTCTGTTACAGGATTAGTACTTGTTTATGTTTATGTTTATTTATTTACCAGACGCTTTTATCCAAAGCAGCTTACAGTTTATAACCTATAGGGCATGTTGTGATCTGTGGGGGAAACCGGAGTACCCGGAGGAACTCCACGCATGCATGGGGAGAACACGCAACTCCACGCAGAAAGGCCGCAGCCGAGTTTCGAACCTGCGACCTTCGTGCTGCGAGGTAACCGTGCTAACCACTGCGCCACCATGCAGCCCAGTACTTTCCTTTAAAACCTGCAATATTCCTTCCTGGGAACTACAAATACAAAATTTTAATTTTAAATAGTTATATAATGTAAGCTTAACCATCAATTTAAGTGAAAACTAGACATCGTAGTGTAACCTTCCCCCTTAGCTTAGCTCCGACCCCTCCGAGTTAGTGTACGCTTCCTCTTTCCTTTATTTTTATGTTGAATTTACCATCTGGACACCTTTAAAAAGCAGCTAAAGACACGTTTATTTACAAGTGTCGTCGTCGTCGTCGTCTTCCTCCGCTTATCCGGGTCCGGGTCGCGGGGGCAGCATCCCAACTAGGGAGCTCCAGGCCGTCCTCTCCCCGGCCTTGTCCACCAGCTCCTCCGGCAGGACCCCAAGGCGTTCCCGGACCAGATTGGAGATGTAACTTCTCCAACGTGTCCTGGGTCGACCCGGGGGCCTTCTGCCGGCAGGACATGCCCGAAACACCTCCCCGGGGAGGCGTCCAGGAGGCATCCTGACCAGATGCCCAAACCACCTCAACTGGCTCCTTTCGATCCGGAGGAGCAGCGGTTCTACTCCGAGTCCCTCCCGAATGTCCGAGCTCCTCACCCTATCTCTAAGGCTGAGCCCGGCCACCCTACGGAGGAAACTCATTTCGGCCGCTTGTATCCGCGATCTCGTTCTTTCGGTCATTACCCAAAGCTCATGACCATAGGTGAGGATTGGGACGTAGATCGACCGGTAAATCGAGAGCCTGGCTTTCTGGCTCAGCTCCCTCTTCCCCACGACAGATCGGCTCAGCGTCCGCATCACTGCAGACGCCGAACCAATCCGCCTGTCGATCTCCCGATCCCTCCTACCCTCACTCGTGAACAAGACCCCGAGATACTTAAACTCCTCCACTTGAGGTAGGACCTCTCCCCCGACCCGGAGGTGGCAAGCCACCCTTTTCCGGTCGAGAACCATGGTCTCAGATTTGGAGGTGCTGATCCTCATCCCAGCCGCTTCACATTCGGCCGCGAACCTACCCAGCAAGAGCTGAAGGTCAGAGCTGGATGAAGCTAGGAGGACCACATCATCCGCAAAAAGCAGAGACGAGATTCTCCTGCCACCAAACTCGACACACTCCACACCACGGCTGCGTCTAGAAATTCTGTCCATAAAAGTGATGAACAGAACCGGTGACAAAGGGCAGCCCTGGCGGAGTCCAACCCTCACTGGGAACAGGTCCGACTTACTACCGGCTATGCGGACCAAACTCACGCTCCTCTTGTAAAGGGACTGAATGGCCCTTAACAGAAAGCCACCCACCCCATACTCCTGGAGCGTCCCCCACAGGGTGCCCCTGGGGACACGGTCATAAGCCTTCTCCAAATCCACAAAGCACATGTGGATTGGTTGGGCAAACTCCCATGCCCCCTCCATCACCCTTGCAAGGGTATAGAGCTGGTCCACAGTTCCACGGCCAGGACGAAAACCACATTGCTCCTCCTCTATCTGAGATTCAACTATCGATCGGACCCTCCTCTCCAGTACCTTGGCGTAGACCTTTCCAGGGAGGCTGAGGAGTGTGATCCCCCTATAGTTGGAACACACCCTCAGGTCACCCTTCTTAAAGATGGGGACCACCACCCCGGTCTGCCACTCCCTAGGAACTGCCCCCGATGACCACGCAATGTTGTAGAGACGTGTCAACCATGACAGCCCTACAACATCCATAGCCTTGAGATACCCAGGACGAACCTCATCCGCCCCCGGGGCTCCGCCGCTGTGTAGTTGTTTGACTACCTCAGCAACTTCTGCCCCCGAGATCGGACAGTCCATCCCCAGGCCTCCCAGCTCTGGTTCCTCCTCGGAATGCGCATTGGTGGGATTGAGGAGCTCCTCAAAGTATTCCTTCCACCGTCCGACTATAGCCTCAGTTGACGTCAGCAGCTCCCCATCCCCACTGTAAACAGTGTGAGCGAGTTGCTGCCTTCCTCTCCTGAGGCGCCGGACAGTTTGCCAGAACCTCTTTGGAGCCGATCGATAGTCTTTCTCCATGGCCTCACCAAACTCCTCCCACGCCCGAGATTTTGCCTCGGCAACTGCCACTGCTGCACCCCGCTTGGCTATCTGGTACCTGTCTGCTGCCTCCGGAGACCCACAGACCAGCCACGCCCTGTAGGCCTCCTTCTTCAGCCTGACGGCTCCCCGAACCTCTGGTGTCCACCAGCGGGTACGGGGGTTGCCACCACGACTGGCACCGGCCACCTTACGACCACAGCTAGCAACAGCCGCCTCGACAATCGCAGAGTGGAACAAGGCCCACTCGGACTCAATGTCCCCCACTGCTCTCGGGACGTGGTCAAAGCTCTGCCGGAGGTGGGAGTTGAAGACCGTCTTGACAGGTTCTTCTGCCAGGCGTTCCCAGCAGACCCTCACTATGCGTTTGGGTCTGCCAGGTCTACGCGGCATGTTCCCTTGCCATCTGATCCAACTCACCACCAGGTGGTGATCAGTTGACAGCTCCGCCCCTCTCTTCACTCGGGTGTCCAAAACATACGGCCGCAGGTCAGATGATACGACTACAAAATCTATCATCGACCTGTGACCTAGGCTGCCCTGGTACCAAGTGTACCGGTGGGCATCCTTATGTTCGAACATGGTGTTCGTTATGGCCAAACTGCGGCTTGCACAGAAGTCCAATAACAAAACACCGCTCGAGTTCTGATCAGGTGGGCCGTTCCTCCCAATCACACCCCTCCAGGTCAAGCTGTCATTGCCCACGTGAGCATTGAAGTCCCCCAGCAGGACAATGGAGTCCCCTGATGGAGCACTATCTAGCACTCGTCCCAGGGACTCCAAAAAGGGTGGGTACTCTGAACTGATATTTGGCCCATAAGCACAAACAACAGTCAGGACCCGTTCCCCGACCCGAAGGCGCAAGGAAGCTACCCTCTTGTCCCCCGGGGTAAACCCCAACACACAGGCAGAGAATCTCGGGGCTAACAAAAAGCCAACCCCAGCCCTCCGCCTCTCACCCGGAGCAACTCCAGCAAAGTAGAGTGTCCAACCCCTCTCCAGGTCTCGGGTTCCAGAGCCAATGCAATGTGTCGAGGTGAGTCCGACTATATCTAGCCGGTACCACTCAACCTCTGCCACAAGCTCCGGCTCCTTCCCCACCAGCGAGGTGACGTTCCATGTCCCAAAAACTAGTTTCCTTGTCCGGGGATTGGACCGCCAAGGCTCCCGCCTTGGTCTGCCACCCGATTCACATTGCACCGGACCCTTCATGTTCCTCCTGCGGGTGGTGAGTCCACAGTTGGACGAGCCCATGTATCCGGTTCGGGCTGGGCCCGGCCGGGCCCCATGGGCGAAAGCCCGGCCACCAGGCGCTCGCTCACGGGCCCCAACCCCAGGCCTGGCTCCAGGGTGGGACCCCGGTAACCCTCCGGGCCGGGTACTCCGACTCTTCGTTTTCACCGCCATGAAAGATTTACAAGTGCCTTCACCTAAATCTTTAGTCTTTTCTTCATCTGTATTATTTATCATCTGTTCTGTTTTTAAATCTCATTCATATGTTTTATGATCTTTTTGTTTTTATTGATTATTGTAATAAAAATAGTCTCATTATTATTATTGTTTTTGAAGTACTTTGTGATTTTAATTTCTATGATAAGTGTTTAAAAAGTAAACTTAACTTACTTTACTAATCTAATAAAATAACACACCTAAGGGCTGAACTGTGCTGATAGTGTAGTTCTGACCCTGCTGCGGCATAGCTTAATATCCATTTTTAAAAACATTTTACTATATTTACTAGGAGAATGCCTAAAATCGCTCTTGACCTTGGTTTTAATTTCACGGTCGGGAGGGAATAAAGGGGGCAAAAGGTTTGCTTTTGGGTAAAGATAAAACTTTACTTCAAATTCAGAATGTCCCAGTGGGAAATTAAATGTTGTAACTCAAATTCTCTCAAGCAATTGTAATATTCATAAACTAATACTAACAATAATAATTAGTTCATCTTCAAAGGTGTTGATGGCTGTGGGCATTATCAGTCTGGATGCAGTGGAGTAAGTAAACATCTTCTCTGACTGCAGCTCAGACTTTCCACTCCAGCGGCAGCAGCGCGAGGACCGACTGCTGTTAAAGGAGCCCATGGCAGCACCGGTGCTCAGTGAGACGTTAGGAAGCTGTGTGCTTCATGCCAGAGTCTCCAAAAGCAACACTGCTCATGGCCACCTTTGTTTTAACTTAAGGAGGACACCACAAACTTGACCATATGTCTTTTGTCCCGCCCACGTGCTCTGAGACATCCCGAAAAGGCTGCGTGGACAACAGACATGGTGTAAACAAATCCTGGCCGTGTGGGGGCAGGTCGACCAAACACACTGTCCAGGTGATCTTTGGCCTCGTCATTGAAAACAAGAAAATTCAGACTAAAAATTTTCAGAGTAGCAGGAAGATGCTGAACGGGTGTTTGACTCAAGGCTCCACCTTTCCCACAGTCACAGTAAAAGATAAAACGTTCATGCATAAACACACTGAAGCGTGAATATTTGTGTTTTTCCCTCCAAACCGCTGACTATTGTATTCCAAGTTTTCATTTGAGGAAGGGATGGCTTCCTGTCATTAGAGCCCACACAGCTGGATCCTAATGTTGTCGCTTCTCTCTTCTTTGACCTCCTTTCAGAGACGACTTGGGAGAGACCATCCAGCACACCAGGGACCCCCAAGAACTCTTTCCGACACAAGAACTCTCTTCCAGCAGGTGCTTTATTTGTGTCTCTTCATCTCTGCTTTTCTTTTGAACACCCTCAAGTGTTGGTGCCCTGGGGCTGGGAACTCTCCTAGAATTCCACGGTGGCACAAAGCCTGTGCTCATGACCACCACACACACACTTCCTGGGATGATCTGTAGCCTGAGCAGCACAACTGAAGCCTTCTCTGTCTTTGGCTTGGCCCTGGTCCTGAAGGCAGACCAACACATGGAAACAGCTTTTATTCATTTGAGTCAATTACACAGCTCAGAGCGTCACCAATCAGCTGGCAGTTAGGGGATTTTTAAGGAGAAACCCCTCACTAGACTCGGATTCAGGCATCTTTAGCTTCACGTCTCAAGTCTCCACATCTTCAAGTCTCAAATGACAAATTTGAATGACCCAGGTTAGCGCCAAGAAGACTTTGGAAATAAATTCAAGTCTCTTTTAAACAACATGACCTTAATTTGAAATGAATAGATGCTAATGCTAACTCAAACATTAAATGGCCTGTATTTGCTGTAGCACTTTCTAAAGCCAGGATCTTCTGGAGGGTTCTTCCTGTTAAAAGGGAGTTTTCCTCCCCACTGTCGCTAAATGCTTACTTAGTATGAGGATTGCTGTAAAGACTCTGACACGAGTCAGTGACTCCATGCAATCTGCTGGGTTCCTTATATAGGAAACTTTTTACTGATTGGCTTAATGACCTGACCTGTAGTGATTGGAATGTTTACTATGTGAAGAGCCTTGAGACGACTCTTGTCGTGATTTGGCGCTTAATAAATAAACTTATAGTCCTGGAACCCCCCAAGGTACTTTACAACATAATCAGTCATTCACACATTCAAACCCTGGTGGTGATGAGCTACATTGTAGCCACAGCTGCCCTGGGCGCACTGACAGAGGCGAGTCTGTCGCACACAGGCGCCTCCGGTCCCTCCGACCGCCACCAGCAGGCAGGGTGGGTTAAATGTCTTGCCTAAGGACACAACAGCAGCGACAAACTCAGCGGGGCTCGAACCTGCAACCAACTTGAGTACTTAACTCCTGTGCCACTAACTCCCCATATTAAATGACCATGTGGGTGTGAAGGCTTTTCATACTTTTATTGGTTATAACATGAACCACAGTGTTTGGACACTAATAATAATTGTTCATGAATCGGATGAGAGCTCATCTTAAAACCCCCAAACATGTTTAGTCTACAGCTCAGTGTCCTAGTGGTAGAGTGTACGCCCTGGGACTGGGAGATCGGGGTTCAACCCTGGTCGGGCCGTACCAAAGACTGCAAAAATAAGACCCAGTGCCTCGCTGCTTGACACTCAGCTTTTAGGGGTTGGATTGTGGGTTAAAGCAGCAAATAGTTCTTGAGCGCGGCTACCGCTGCAGCTCACCGCGCCCCAAGGGGATAGGTCAAATGCAGAGGACAATTTTCACCACTCACCAGTGTGTGTGACTATGGGACATAACTTTGCAGGCCTCAACACATCACTGTAGTCTGATCTTTAACAACATTAGGTCACTAACCTTAGTTAAAGTTGTGTGTTTAATTTAGATCAGTGTAAAAATGAAACCATAGAGAATTGCAGTTTGCCTCAGGGACTCAACTCATTAACCCTGTGGACTTAGAGTGTGCATCAGCGAGCGCTACAGAAAAATGTCCCTTAGCGGGGAAACGCTGGTGTCACAGTTAGGAGTTCACCCCGGGCTGCCGGTTTGAACCCAGGCTCCGTCAATCGCTTTGTCCTGCTGCTGGTGATGGGAGGGACCCTGGCGTGTCTGTGTGTGCTCCAGGGCAGCTGTAGTTACAGTGTCGCTCATCACCATCAGTGTGTGTGACTGTGTGAACGACGCACTGTAGTATTTTCCTCTGACATAGCAAAGTATTGTACAAGAGCAGGTAATTTATAATTTTCTCATGAAACGGGCTGCACCAAGTAGAACGGCAGGGTTCAGCATATTTAATGACCTCTGAATGAAATTGATCGTTCTTTTCCTTCGTGTGTCCTTGTCTCTCCAGTGAATGGATTTCACTCAGGCGGGACTCCCTTGCATCATGTGGAGCATTCACACAACAGTCTGGTTAGAAAGAGCAGCACAGAGCCGCAGGTAACGCTGTCTGAGCTTCACTCTCCCACTGCTTCTCTTCAGACTCGCTGCTGTCTTAGGGCTTCATCAAGCTTTTGCCCTGACTCTCGGGTCTTACACGTTTCATGCTGCAGAGCCTAACTTTAACCCTTGACCCAGGGCTGCACTAGGGTGTAATTTAGTTGGAGGCACAAAATAATAAATAAATTCCCCCATTTTCAGCTGGAGTAACAGTAAATGAGAACCAGGTTTGAAACTCGTGTCTTGAGAGGGGCTCGAGTCATGTGATCAGTCTTTAGCGCCAGTAATCAGGAGTGAATGTAAGCTGGTGAGGAAGTCATAGTCAGCGTGACCGGGATGGGTGTGGTTTAGTTGAACATCTGTTTCCACGGTTTTTCCCCAACTTCTCAGTACCTGCTTCGTTGTAGCTCCTAGCAGACCCGACCTGGTCTGAAAATGTGACATAAGCGACTGCTGGCCACTGATTGGCTGGGTGGTGGAGTCACTAGTTTTTCCAGAGCTTTCTGCCTTCATCTATTTCCTGGTTCAGAGAATGTTCAAGATCCCTACCATTGTTGTGCGGTGTTGGGTTTGTGTGGCATACACATCACCCCTGCTCCTTTTGTGCCAGTTAAAGATTGAAACTGACGTGTCTTGGGTGTTCAAGAGTTGGCTCAGTGTATCAGCAACAAATCTTGGTGTGAAAGTAGATGGTGCCCTTTACTCCCCAGCTCGCCAGATAATGTGTTGTTATCTCTGTTTTAGGGTATTTGTTGTGTTTTTTATTGATGTGTCCTTGTTTTACGTGCTCGTTTTATGTTTTTACTGTCCCTTTAAAGCGCCTGGGTGGCATATATTATGTCTGTAAGGTGCTGTGAGTTGAGTTGTTTTGTCACAAAGTTGGCACAGAAAACTAACCACACTGAAGTGAGATGCCTTAACCCACATGTGTCAGACACGCGGCCCGCGGAGCATTTTTATGTGGCCCGCGAGATAAATATCAAAAATATATTAAAACTGACCCGCTGGCCGATTTTACCGCAAAGACTACTACTCCCATGATGCTTTACGGCGTTAGCGCAAAGCCGAAGCGCCCCCTCCTTTGTGTTTTTTCCAGCGTCTGCTGCCGGTGTCTGCAGCTCTGCTGTCTCGGACAAATTAAAGACTCCTCTCACAGCGCTGAGTTTACTCAGCTATTTTCCGACGTTGAAGCCCAGAAACGGAGATTTTGACCGCTCAGTAATGTGTTCACGACTGAAAGAGAAAGTTTTCCAACTAACGTCCAGACAGAGCTGATATAACTCCAGCGAGCAGCGACACGCTCAAAGCAGCATGACTCTGTGGCTGCTGTAGTTGTTATTTTTCCTCCCCAACACACAACAACGTGGTCAAGCTGCTTAGACATGTTCATCAGCACAAACCTATGTGAGCACCTGTTGTCATCTAATGTTGTCATTATTATGATGAAGATGAACAAAATAACAGGAGTCTCCTCCTCAGCTCAGATCAACCCCATGATGCAGGTATCTGGCTGGAACAGGTGAGCATCACAGTAAACCAGTGGAGCAAACTGAGCTTTAAATATGTTGGTTTTATGCTCTTTTTCTGCTCCAAATCATGAAAGTTAACAGGTGAGATGTTGCATTTTCATTTAAGATAAAATGATATTTTTATTTTGTTGTTGGCCCGTGAGAAACGATTTAACCTACAGTAAACAGGAAGTGGAAAGGCTGCAGATAGATGAATAGAATAGAAAATCCCTTTATTGTTCCTCAGTGGGGAAAGCTAGACATCACAGCAGCGATGACACTTATTACAGGAGAAAAAGGAGAATAAAAAATAAGAAAAATGAATAAACAAGAAAACATAAATCCTGAATAGATTTTAAAATGCTGAATATACCACAAGTAATGAATACCACTGTTGTGTTTTATTTAAAACTGACTTGCTCGTGTGTATTTTGGTTATTCCACATTCAGTGTTAATGCAGAAATAAGTTTGTTTCCAAATTAAAAGGTTCAAAATTGCATTTATGTTGGTAAAGAAAATGTGCAAATTTGCCGTCACTTTTTCAAAAATATTAAGTTTGGCCCTCGACTCCGTCCCAGAGTTTCATTTCGGCCCCGTGTGAGTTTGAGTTTGACACCCCTGTTTTAACCCATCCGGTTCCAAGTAGTGCTGTTGGAAAACCTCCAAAATAGTAAAGAATAAAGTCCATAAATCCAACATAGAAACATAAACCCCCCACAGGGCCTTTTTGGGGTTAAAACATTTATGAAGTTGTCCGTATTCCTGTGTTTTGTATCTACCAGGACTGTCCATGGTCAGTACTCTTGGTCAAGCTTTGTGTGTTGAAACTAGATCCTCGGCTCACTCATCAAAGCACTAACATGATAATATGAGTCACTTGTTGTCAGTTGGCATGGCAACGGAGGACACATCAGGACAGGAAGTGAAGAGTCAGACGCTACCAGCAGCTTTTTTCCACTGCTGTTTGAGGATCTGTCATTATGAGCAGTCTTCTGAGTGCAAGAAGTAAACTCAAGTCCTACTTAGATGACCCAGAAGTATAAAAATGTCTTTTCAAATGGTACTAAAATTCAACACCGTAACAAAAACAGCTTCCAGATCTTCCAGGCCCTCTCTGCTGTGCTTCAGCTTTCATCTCATTGTAACTGTACAAGGGGAGGTGACAGGTGCTCTTTGCTGACTGCTTTTTTGTTATTTCTGACAAACCAAATTAGGAGCATCAGGAGCTGCCTCACGAACTACACTCAGCTAAAGGATTATTAGGAACACCTGTTTAACTTCTCCTTAATGCATTTATCTAATCAACCATTCACATGGCAGTTACTTCAGTGCATTTAGGGGTGTGGTCCTGGTCAAGACGATCTCCTGAACGGCAAACTGAAGGTCAGAATGGGACAGAAAGGTGATTTAAGCTGTTTTGAGCGTGGCATGGTTGTTGGTGCCAGACGGGCCGGTCTGAGTATTTCACAATCTGCTCAGTTAATGGGATTTTCACCCACAACCATTTCTAGGGTTTACAAAGAATGGTGTGAAAAGGGAAATACATCCAGTTTGTGGCAGTCCTATGGGTGAAAATGCCTTGTTGATGCTAGAGGTCAGAGGAGAATGGGCCGACTGATTCAAGCTGATAGAAGAGCAACTTTGACTTTGATAACCACTCGTTACAACCGAGGAATGCGGCAAAGCGTTTGTGAAGCCACAACACGCACAACCTTGAGGAGGATGGGCTACAACAGCAGAAGACCCCACCGGGTACCACTCCTCTCCACTACAAATGGGAAAAAGAGGCTGCAATTTGCACCAGCTCACCAAAATTGGACAGTTGAAGACTGGAAAAATGTTGCCAGGTCTGATGAGTCTCCATTTCTGCTGAGACATTCAGATGGTAGAGTCAGAATTTGGTGTAAACAGAATGAGAACATGGATCCATCATGCCTTGTTACCACTGTGCAGGCAGGTGGTGGTGGTGGTGTAATGGTGTGGGGGATGTTTTCTTGGCACACTTTAGGCCCCTTAGTGCCGAGTGGGCATGGTTTAAATGTCACGGGCTACCTGAGCATCGTTTCTGACCATGTCCATCCCTTCATGACCACCGTGTACCCATCCTCTGATGGCTACTTCCAGCAGGATAACGCACCATGTCATAAAGCTCCAATCATTTCAAACTGGTTTCTTGAACATGACAATGAGTTCTCTGTACTACAACGACCCCACAGTCACCAGATCTCAACCCGATAGAGCATCTTTGGGATGTGGTGGAACGGGAGCTTGGTGCCCTGGATGTGCATCCCACACATCTCCATCAGCTGCAAGATGCTGTCCTACCAATATGGATCAACATTTCTAAAGAATGCTTTCAGCACCTTGTTGGCCGTCTGATGTTATATGTGTATTACATAGTTTACAGAAAAACGTGTAACTTTTCTTGTTGTGATTAAAAGTAACTTAAAGAAAGCGCATTAATTATTTTAATCTTCAGCCAAGAGTGAGGAGATTATTCATCCGACCTTAGGCCCGAGCAGCGAGAGCCCTGCATAGGCCCCTTGTTGTTCTTGTTATGTTGCTTACTGTTTAATAATCTGGTTTTTTAGAGCCCTTAATGTAATCAAACACTCATAACATTTTGCAGATATGTCAGCTGTGCATAAAATGTACTTGTTTTAAAGGTCTCACAAAAGTCACAATAGAAATAGAGGAAAAGTGCCCCCTAGATTTTTTCCTTGTCATTCACCTTACTTCATTGTTAGTTTATGAAATTTAGTTCATATGTAGAAGTTTCTTGCAACCATGCTCCACAATAAACGGGAAGTCGGACATATTTAGCAGAATTTGTGATTTCCAGCCTTGTTTGGCCATTTGAGACTTTGATCTACTTGAAAGTTGGTGGGTTGGATCATAAGGCGTGGGCAATCTAAAGTTGCTAAGATGATGATTTTTCTGTGCACGTTGAGGGTTAGATCCCTCATACTTTGTTTACTCACCAAAAGAAAAATAATAACTCAGGAAGTCCTGGAGACATGAAACCTGCCATTAATCCTCACGACATATGTGACAATGCTCACATGCTGATAACCCCCCGCCCACACACACATACACACACACAACAGGAAGTGTCATGTTTTACTTTGACCTCTTTTGAATGAAATTTATCTTGAATACGTTTTTCAGTCGCTAACACACATTGAGCAAAACTTTGGTGGATGTGGCCTGTTTTTGGAAACCCCCCATTACAACAATCAACCCCAAGCCATGCTTTGACTGAGGACTGAGTGTCTTCAGACCTACAAAAGTCTCTGGATGGACTTTTCCTATATGGAACTATCATTAGCAAGGATCGGTAATGCAACTGCAGTTACCACGGCATCTTGGATGGACTTGTGGCTAAGCCTGAAAAAAATGACCATTCGTCATCAAACTCCGCTGTTTAAAAACTTCCACACACAAGATCAGAGCTGTATCAACTTTGTGCGTCATAGCAGACCTGAACTCAAGACAACAACATGTTCATGTTGGTTAATCAGAGACTATAGAGTATCAGATACATTCTTCACAGAGAAAGAAAGAAAAAAAAACCTGTGATGATGTTTAAAAACCAGACGTGGGCTGATGAATACTTATTTACTCTGTTGAATTGTTTTAAATCACATCATGAATAGTATTGAACCAAATTGCATTACATGAAGTCAAATATTTGTCAAATCATTCATAAATCGTCAGCAGGGATGAATTATATCAAATAGTATCAGTAGAGGGTTTTACCAGCTGGGCAGTCTCAGCTCAGATCAGGATGTTCACCCGGGAGCTCTCCACAGTTCACCGTTCTTTGGTCATTGTAGGGCAGCTGAGTACACCTCGTGGTTTCAATTTTTTTATTTGAAGAACTGGAAAATGATGGAATGTGGCATCTGAGATTTGTAAACTCTCCAGTAAAAATTCACCAGCCTCCACCGCCCTGTTATTGATGTATCGTACCACTGGTAGCGTATCAAGATGTGAATCGACCTTAGTGGTGGGGATTCACATCCCTTTATGTGAATGCGTGAATGGCTATTGAGTTGTACAGCACCTTGGGGGGTAGTAGAACTCTTAAAGGTGCTATATAATTACAGGTCATTTACCATTTACTGAGAGCGTGAGAAAGGCTTTGGTGGCGTAGCAAAGTCTGAAGTACTGATGTTTGACTTTAATTCAAGCTATACTGTGTTATCTGCACCAACTTAGCCGTGATGGGCATCAGTCAAGCCCCTAATATGAATCTAAGCAAACATTTGGCACACATGACATATTTTCTCCACAGCGCCCCCTAGAAACATTGAAACTGTGACAACTTCTACAAACAAGGCCACAACTGTACCAAACTTGCTCTGCGCCATCACACAGCAGCATTCAGCACATTTGTTGATGTCAGTTGAGCTCCGCCCCCTTATAGACGGCTTCCTCTAAATAGCGAATGCATGAACTGATTAGCAACAAACTACACATAAATGGTCTTTGCCAACCTAAGAACAGCTCAACCGGTTATATTGGATTTTGAAACGGTGCACCTTAAACATATTCAACCAGCTATTGCCTTGATGCGTCATCAGTTTCATACCAGAATGGCTTCCTGTTAAAGAGGAGTTTTTCTCTCCACTATCGCTACTTGCTTGTTTAGTGTGGAGATTCCTGTAAAGTCTCTGACACAACAAGTCAGTGACTTGACTCAATGTGCTGGGTTTTCTTGGATAGAAAACTTTTAACTAATTAGAATAATGAACTGTTGCTTACTGTTCAGTGGGTTCAGTTGGAGTCTTTCCTTTGTAACGTGCCATGAGATGACTCGTGCTTGTAATTGGCATTTTATTTAATTGAACTGAATGAAACATTGGATTAAATTTCTGTTCTGGATTAGATGATTTTTTTTTGCTTCTTTTGACCAGATTAAACCACATCTTTCCTCTAATTAATGGAGAATTTAAGCTGATAAAACCGTCCTACAGCTGCAAGGATCAGTCACTCTCACAGCTTCACACGCAAATCTTTGTTGTTCCTGAAAACCCGATAAGAGTCTTTTTAAATGACTGAACTCTAAGTTCTTTAACTTCTGTCTCCATTTTGAACTCACATCTGCTCTAAACCTTAGTTACAGAAAAACAGATAGTCAGTCGCACAAACGAGATCAGGCTTTGCTTTCTCTGCAGAACTATACTCTGAGCTTTGCATAGCAACACACACACACACACACACACACACACACACACACACGCACGCACGCACGCACGCACGCACGCACGCACACACACACACACACACACACACAAAGTAGTGGGAGCAGAGAGAGCAGCAGTCAGGCTGTAGCAGCTCTCCCTGCTGAAACACCTGTGTGTGTGATTATGTTAGCCAGCCATGTCTGATGCAGAGGATGGGAGTTTTGATGGAGAATCCTTCTCTCTGCAGAGCCCTGGATCGACGTCCCCCACCAGAAAGCAACGAGACAAAGAGACAACGGTTACGGTAAGCTCCCAACTGAGCACAAACTCTTCCTGATCCTGGTTTCACAGCAGAATTATTCACGACCAAAGGTAGATGTAGTTGCAAATAGTTATGTTTGATTTGATTCTTTTAAGTTTTTACTCTCTACCAGAAGGCTTATCATGGTGCCTGTTTTGAGCTGCTACAACACAAATATCCAGATAGTTATTATTTACCAGCTCTCTGCTTTCCGCAGGATAAATATCAGTGTAGGCTGGTGGTAGGAGTGGGCATTTGAAGACTAAATGTGTGCTGGGCAAGGCCAGATTAACCATACGGGCAACTGGGCAATTGCCCAGGGGTCCACGAACTCTAAAAGGCCCAGGCCCAGGTCAGCAAGGGCACGAGCAAAATACGGTATATCCTGCTTCATATTAAACAAAGTGTCCACCCGGGCTTTTGTGCTGCACAGACGCTTTTCTGCCTATGACTTTGAACGTCAGCTGAGAGCGGTTGAGAGTCGGTCTCATGCAGACTAACCAATGAAGAAAGGTCCGACCGCAAATATAGCGGAGTGCATTCTGCGCGTTGACCGCACCGGTGAGGTGGCCACCGGAGGACGAAACAGGTGATGCGCTCCACTCCGCAGCAGTGAAACGCATCAGACACAAATAAAAGACAGAAAGCATGAAAGGATATGAGCCGAGATAAACGATCGCATGTTAAATTTGTTTTTGAGGTGGCGACACTTTGATAATGTTACTGCGGCCGTTCTCAGGACGCATCTGTCTGGAGTGCGTCAACGATCAGAGCTCTGTGCCTCTCAGCTCTAAATAATCCCCAGAGAGTCCACATAAATAATGTAATATAACCACAATCATTTTTGGGCTAAACAATTGTCTACAGTCCATCTTCCCTAATGTGTTTGTGGCCCTGCTGATTTTTCTAATAGTTACAAATTGTGAAGGGGAACGATCATTTTCACAAATGGCAAGAATAAAAAATGAAATGAGAACAACACAAAGTCAACAGCGCCTCAGTGCACTGTCACTTATGGCTATTGAATCTCAGCTTGTCAGGAATCTGGACTTAGATGACATTGTAAATGAATTTACTTATAGAAAGGCCAGAAAGCAGTTTTTCTGAAGGCAAGAGAGGAGGCCAACAAGAGGAGACAAAAAGAGGAGGAAGGAGACAGGAGTCAAGAGGAAGGAGGAGACAGGAGACAAGAGGAGGAAGGAGACAGGAGACAAGAGGAGGAAGGAGACAGGAGACAAGAAGAGGAAGGAGACAGGAAACAAGAGGAGGAAGGAAACATGAGACAAGAGGAAGAAGGAGACAGGAGACAAGAGGAGGAAGGAGACAGGAGACAAGAGGAGGAGGAAGGAGACCAGAGACAAGAGGAGGAAAGAGACAGGAGACAGGAGGAGGAAGGAGACAGGAGACAAGAGGAGGAAGGAAATAGGAGACAAGAGGAAGAAGGAGACAGGAGACAAGAGGAGGAAAGAGACAGGAGACAAGAGGAGGACAAAGACAGGAGACAAGAGGAGTAAGCGATTTTTAAAATTGACAATGTTATGAAATGTCTAGAAAGTGCTACTGGGTGACAGTAATGTTGGGGGAGGCCGGGTGGGGTGAGGTGGGGTGGGGGCAGGGGGCCCTAAACACATTGTGCCCAGGGGCCCCTGCAATGATAATCGGCCCTGGTGCTGGGTAATTCATCCCTCAGCTGAATCGCTTCAACCATTTAACATTTTAACCAGTCATGTTTGAGATACTTACATATGTTGGGACACCTCTCCAAATCTGTGCATTCAGTTGTTCTAGTAGGCATGGATGAGTCTGGATATGGAGGAATTCACTGGCCTGCACAAGGTCCTCAGCCGAGACTGAGAACCAGATCTTCTCGTCTGACATCAGCACCTGGCCTCACCACGAGCCTCTGGATCGACATCCAAACATTCTCCTTAACAATTCAAACTGTTCTAGCAGCAGCAGCTGGACCAACTCTGCGTTGAACCCTATGGACTCAACGAGATGCCATTAAAATAAATATTGGTGCAAAGGCAGACATGACAATATGGAAAACATCTGCTGCTGCATGTGAAGCAACAGGCTTTACATCAAATTCAACTTTACAAAACGTGAAATCTGCCTTTTTTTTTGTTTACAACCAAACCTGCAGGCGCCAGCCCCACCCATGCTGTATCAACTGGACTTCAGTATGGAGGCCTGGGCAGCACTGTTTGTTCAAATCTGCTCCGGTTGAGTTTCTGACCAGTGCGTGTCTGACCCAGCTGATGTACTTTATGCAGAGTTTTATTTCAGAAGAACAATCTTTTCAATGTATCAGATATTTTTGTCTTTTCTTCAGTTTGAAACTCTTCAGTCTTTATTTTTTATTACCAACCTCAGCTGTTGTCACCATGCTAACAGTCTCAACTCCAGCAGGATAAAATGTCAACATCCGGCTGTGATTATGGCTCTATTCCTTTCTTCCACTAAACATGGGCTTTTTTACTGTAATACATTATTATCTTTATTAGACAAAAGTAGGTATTTTCATTTAGCTGTGCCTGATCAACTTGACGGGCGTTGAAGCACATTGCTACTTATTTTATCTCAGTAATGTTTTCTCATCCATGTAAATGATGAAGAGAATTGTTGCCAACATTTAGCAGCTCTGGTCTAAACCACACGGGATGCAAACAAACCACATAAAGACCAGCTCTCTGACAGATCCACACAAGTCACATGCTGTAACTGAGAACATGTGTTACTCTCCAGAAGCAATCATCATGGGTCTATGTGGGTCTCATTTTCCCCTCTCAGCTTCCACAAACTGTGTATGTGAGCAGAGACAAACATCTTTGTAGGCAGTTGGAAGTCGCTTGGCCTCGTTTCTACCCGAGAGGTCGGGTTGGAGCCTTGCTAGCTGTCAACCTCTGGACCTCTGTGGAGATCAAACAGGAATCCTTTTCCTCAAGCTGAGGAGAAGCTCTATGGGCCGACGCAGACCTGATTTAGAAGCTTCTGATGCCTCTTTCAGCCATTTCAATCCAACATTGACCCTGTAAAAGTTAGCAGAACCCCATTAGTCAGTTTTGTCTAAAGGAAGCGGCGTTAAAGAAAGGCATCTCTGAAGGTTTAAGACAAAATAGACACTGTTGCTGCAGGATTTTCTGCCTCCTGAGATGAAATGTTTCATTTGTAACATTTCATTTCTCTGTTAGTGTCTGCATGGTGAAAGCATGCTTCTTCATTGATTTGCTCTAAATCTAAACGTTTATCAGAAAGAGGCGGATCAGGATCACTTTGGTTAGGTTTGGGAACATTTCTTGATTTGCTGTCTGAATCTAAAATTTCCAGAGTTCAAGTTTTAAGGAGACTGGTTTGTTTCATCATCTTCTGGAGTTGAAATCCACATATAAATGAAATATTAATTATTGCACATTCACAGCTAAATGCAGACTTATTATTGCATTTGTGACCCAAGAGTTTTGTCTTTTTGGATCTTCTCAGCGAAGAAAATGGCCCAATTACACGAAGCGTCCTTCATTCTCTCCCGTTCTCTTGAGTCTCGTGGTTCGACACCACATCTTCAGCATGACCTGCTGACAATCAACAAGACAGTTAAAGGAGATGTTTGGGGATCTATTAGACTGGCTGCTTTTAGCCAAGAGAATGATTGAGCTGGAGAGATTAGCACTCAGAATAATAACAATACTGGCTCCAAGGAGCGTGTAACTTTGTCTTGATGTGTCTGTTGCAGAGATGAGAACGGGCTGCCAAAGCAGCAGTGTACAGCTTCTCCTAAGTACTAATCCTCAACCCACAGAGTATAAGGTGGCGCTCTTCATGAAGATGCTCTGCCTCGGTAAAGTCCTGTGTTTAATCCTGCAGATTAACGGCGTGACATTCCCATCACTGGCCTTCATGTGCGAGCAGCAGTTGCTGAAACCAAACGAATGGAGCTACTGTGACTATTTCTGGGTAGGTCTTATCTCTGTGGTGAAACACAACATGCAACTTTAGGGATTACTGAAAAGAAGTGGGCTGTAGGTCGGAGGGTCATGGCTTGGTTTTGTTTTGGGATGCTCTGAGTTGCTTGTTGTTAAATCTGAGGGCATTTCTCTGCTCAAATGCTGAAATGACTGAAGTGTAAATAAGTTTGACCAAAAGCGCTGATCCAACCCCAGAAATGTGTCTGACCACAAAAGTAGTTTTTACTATGTGACAGTCCATCCCAGAGGCCTTTGTTCAGTTGCCTCATCCTAGTTTTTCATTGATTTGATTTGAGTTATCTTGGAAATTAGTTATGTCAAAGGTGTGGAAAACTGGTTTAATCAATACATCGGCAGTGGTCTCTAGTAGGAAGGACTTGTAAGTCGTGCTCTAGTGAAAAAACTCAGGTGCTCCTGTTTCAGGATCTCGATGATTACCAGATCGGGCGAGAGCTGAACACGACAGGATTTGGAGACCTACTTCCTGATATTTGGACATCTCACCTCCGATTGGCTAACAGCAACACGACTCTTCCACTGATTCTGTTTGTTCTGCAACGTTGATGATTTATCTCCACAAATGACTCAGGCCTGAAGGAGTTCTGCTGTGTGGTGGAGTTGTGAATGCTAACAGATAGCTTCTATTAGCCAAGACATTCTCTGCTGTTTGCTGGACGCTAAACCAACAACAGCCTTCCCTGTCGTGAGTCAAGATGGGTGAGTCCAGGAAAGTTAGTGACAGTGTGACGTAGATCTGTCAGGATTTTCTATCCTAGACTTTCACCGTCTGTTTTCTAACAGGAGCTAATGCAGGAGAGACAGGTGTAGGAGACTATTTTCATGTTTTATGAAAATCTCAGAGAGACGATTATAATCAGAAATAATCATTAAAATGTTTTTTCAGTGTTCCACACCTTTTTAGCAGGAATGGGTGAATTAAACTTTTTGTAGTTAGACTTCAGACCTGATCAGTGTTGGCTTTGATAAGATCCCACACACAGGACAGTAGTGCACATAAGACGCTCTGCTGCTCTGATTGGTTGTCTCTTACCCATGCAGGCTTATCGATGCCATGCTTTAGTCATGCACACAACAGGAACAGTATAAAAAACAGAGTGAGAAGAAAATGTTTGTGGGGGGGTCAGAATGAGTCACATGTGGTCCTAGACGTGGGTCCTAATAGTCGCCACATAGGAGTGGTCAACATTTCATTCTGATCCAGGTCCTTTTGATTTAAGGTCCGTTTACATCCCAGACGGCAGACCATCAGTACACTGATATATTGTGTATGTGAGTTTCTGTATAGGAAGACAGTTCATCTACACACATGCCGGTTTGTCTTCTTATCCCTCAAACAAACGTCTCAGTATCACCAGCTTCTGGGTTTAAAACTAGGAAACGTGACGGATAACTCTCACTGCTTCTCAGGCAGAGGTGTTGTGCCATTATCAACTGTTTTCTTTACAAATGTCTGCATTTCTCTCACAGGCTGACAGGAAAGATCTCCAAGGCAACGGTTGCATCACCGGATTCGAAGTGTTGCTTCAAAAACAGCTGAAGGGTAAACAGATGCAGAAAGAGATGGCCGAGTTCATACGAGAAAGGTATCCGCATCGTTTTTACACTCTTTTTATCTTGTGTTGCCTCGAAAACATGCAGCTATCATCAAACAACCCATTTCCTCTTATTTCTGCTCGCTTATGCATATCATCAAATTGCTCAACACCGTAGACTGAAACCAGATTGCATAATAACTGTGTAGTAATCACACTCTCTACTTCCCTTTCAGGATAAAGATAGAAGAAGAGTATGCCAAGAGTCTTTCTAAGCTCTCCCAGATCCCTCTTGGAGGCCAGGAGGAAGGGTGAGTGTCTTTTCACTTCTGTACTCCGACTGGTGGCTAGTCCAACCTCTGCTCAGCCAGCTATAGCTACAACCATCGGGGTGTTGTTTCACCTAACCTTCATCAAACCGTTTCATTTGGAGAGCATCCATCACGATCCAGCTTATTCTCCAGATGGTGTCACCGCTGCTCCAGACAACGGAGCAGTCCGGTTAAATCTCACTGCAGCCTTTCGTCCACTTGACCGTAATATTCATAGGAATACACGTGGTATTAGGATTGGGCTTTTTGCATATGCTCCACAATGACCCTGATGAGCCACTGGTGGTTACTATGGTAACCTTAATGAGCCACTGGCAGCTGCTAGAATGTTTATATTTACTTCTTTGGTTTATGCATCAAACCCACGGCCGCAAAAACAAAGTCAGCTTGTAGGATGTCAGCTGTCAGCACAGTGATGGAGAGCTGATGATTTGGGCTCCTTACAGTAACTGAGCTAACCATTAAAGACACACTCCAATGAAAATCGTGTTTTTTCTGTTTTTATCATATTCTTGAGGCATTTTTTATGCTACAGGACACATCTGAAGAAATGTAAGCTCAAAATTGCATTTTTGAGTATTTCTGCATTCAAACTGCTGTCAATCAGGAGCAGATGAAAAAACTGCAGCCTAAAACTGACTGGGTTTGTGACATCACACACCCTCTGGGTTAAGCTAAAAAAAGATTATTAGAGTGGGACTTTAACTCCTTAAATATTCTACAGTCAAACATGGATTCATTCACGTCAAATGACCACTGCTGGTGTTTCTGAACGCTTCAGGATTCTGTTTCACCAACAGCTTTTGGACATGTTAGGGACCACGTCATTTGTTAAAACAGCCTTGTGCATAAATGGTAGAGCTACTGGGAGTTTACATCACTGCTTTTCCTCATGACCTAGAAGAATTTGCCAGATAATTTTCCTGTCAGACAGACTGCTCAGTGGTGAGTTAGCCAGTGAAGGCATCCTGTAGCGAGCCTAGTTCTGGAGACGTTGTCAGTGATGCTGTGCTTTCATCTACTCTGACCGACAGCATATGACAGCCATTAAGTGATCACAAACACACACTCATGAGAAAAGGGAGGGTGTTGGCTGTTTGAGCCTTCAAAGGAGTAAAATAGTTAGCAGCCACTCTTCTTTTCTGGCAGTTGAGGGGATATCGTGCCGGGGGCTTCGTCTGCTCCGGTAATGGGACATAAGAACAGGAAGCTAGGCGGGACACGTCTACTTGTTATTTAACTCTTTTACGATCCTGCGTAGCAACACGATAAAAAGTTACAGATACAGATAATTCTATCTTGAGAACCATGCCTGAAACTGTGCTGGACATCCGGCAGGCGTCCGTGGTTTGTTTTTATGACTCAAATTCCAGTCTGGCATCAGCGAGCAGACCAAGGCACTTGCAGCATAGATCTACGTAGGCCTGGGCCAGATCATATCAGCAAAAACATATACATCATGAGATCTATCATTAGATGGGTCGAGCGGCGCAGAGCTCTTCAAGTTGTAACCACAATCACAGTGTTTGCTCATATCAGCAAGTAGGGAAAGATTCACGGTGGTTTCTGAGGTATTTTGGCTGCTGCAGGCCCCCGTAGTCGTTACCAGGTCATGCAGGTGGGTTCGGGCCTTTTCTCCAGACAAACAGGACAGAGAGACACATGAGCAGCAAGCTGGTGTAGTAATGCGATGTTACCGGCATACAGGGGAAACGTGTTTAGCCACCAATTTTGACTCTACTGTGCACGGGCGGCAGCACAGGAATGTAGAAAGCCTGAAAAGGAAATCACGCTGCCGTGTTCTTCTGATTCACCAAGGTCATCATTTTTATGGATGTAAAAAAATGATATAAAATTCCTGAGAAGAGGAAAAACCCCAGAATGCTGCTTTAATGTTAGACATGAAGCGTGGTTCAAATGTAAGTACGTGTGAAAGGTTAAATACGACTTATCCTTCATTACATTTAAGCTAACGCCTCTTCACGTTGCCAGTGACAGAGAGTGGGTTGGAATCGTCTAATTCAGAATCCTGATGATGCCAGTCAGCGCGGTCTGCCCAAGGCCGGTAAACAGTGCCTTCATTATGCTCCGCCCTGGGCTGGCTCTGTTGTCAGACAGGACAATCACTGTTTTGTTGCTCCGTTTCTACCATCTGGCCAGAACCAGCCTTCTGTTTGTTCCTGAATTTACCATTTGTTTGGTATCGAGCTGTAATGCATGTGACACAAACATTTCCCAGCTTTCTGTTCCATTTCAGATTAAAGAGGCTGATGGCAGGAGATTTCACTTTTACTGGAATCCAGTTTGTTAGTGGGATTTCATTTGTGAGACTTGACAGATTACTTTTGTTTAGTGGTGATACTATCTTATTATTTAGCAGCTTTCCATTGTGCCTAAAGAATCTGATAGTGACTCAAAATATTAACAAATATAGCTGTCTCTGTTTTTATGAGCCAGTGTGCATGAACTCCAGAATGAAATAGGTGTGTTTCCACTGTCGGAACTGCAGGATACAGCAACTCCCCGGCATCTGTGTGTCTCCACGTGACCGGGTCGGCCAAAGGGCCCTTTTTAAGAACTTTCTGAGTACCTGGTCAGGCAGTGGCAGATTAGGTAATTTGGGGGCCCAAGGCAAACACACACGGGGCTCCCTTACACTAAATTTTCAACAATCTTACCTTTAACTGGATTTGCGAAACTCTCCCCTCTTCTGACATGAGTTATTTTCACTTTTTATTAGTCCTCCTCTTTTTTCTCCTGTCTTTCTCTCTCTTTGAGTGCTTTCTTCTACCTTGTTTTATTTCTATTTTCCATTTTGGTCTATGTTTTCCTCCCTTTAAACATTTTCCATTGTCTTTCCTTTCTGCTTCCTTTTGACGTTTACATAGATGAACGGGCGTAACTTTCAGAAGTGAAAATAAAAGCTTTTATGAAGCAAGCTGCTTCTTTCTCTTATTGGAGCCACTAGGATAACTGCATTTCATGCTTCATGTTTTGACTATCGCTTCGAGTTTGTTACAAACGCTCCCACCTCTCTTCTTCTTTTTCTGCTTTCTCTTCTTCTTCTTCTTTGTGGTCTTATGGCACTTGGCAAACAACAATTTGGTGCATTACTGCCACCAACTGGATTGGAGTGGAATGACTACCAATCACTTCCTGTTTGTGCATCGGTGTCTTAAAGGAATAGTCCACTGTGGGATTAACAGAGGGGTGCCGTCGGTCTGGGCGAGGAGGCCCACTTATGTTGGGGGCCCCAGGCGGCCGCCGACCTATGCCTAATGGTAAAACCGCCACTGTGGTCACTCAGAGTGGCCCGGTGGAGCAGCTGGCCTGGCCTTTTCAAATTCAATTCAAATTCAAAGATACTTTATTAATCCCAGAGGGAAATTAGAGTTTCAGTACACACAATTCAGAGATCAGACATACATGGGCAAGACACATGACAAGAATTGGTGACTGTGGTCATTCGCAACCCTGAGTCGTGCTACCTTAATAGAGATCAGAGGGTTACATGAGGATTGGTTCAGGTGGAGGGAAGAAAAGGCAATTCAGAGTTACCCTCCCACCAGGAGGGCAGCTTTGGTCTGCAAAAAAACACCTCAGACAGATATGCAACAGACTTCAGACATTGCACAACAAAAGTGTCCACTAGGTGGGGTGGTGGGTTGGGACTATCCACACTTCAGTTCCTGCAGCCACTACAAGCAGCGCATGTCACCTCAGTCTGAACAGGGGGAGGAGCATTGAGGGTTGGAGGGTTGCAGTGACCCTGGAACGATTCGGCGGCCTTCCCGCAGTCCCGCCCAGGCTGGGATAGGAGACAGTGTTGAGTTGCCATAGCGACGGCACATTCCGGAAGAAGAAGGAACTGCTACGAAGAACGCCTCAGCAGCACCAGGCCTCCTCAAGTCGATCCATCTGGGATCGTGGCTCCATCAGGTGTGACTAGCAGTGAGGAGAAGACCTATGGAGGATGGTCTGGTGTCATGAAGGGCAGCAAAGAAGCCACTTCTCTCTGAGGAAGTCATCAGGGACAGGCAGGAGTTCTGCTAAAGGTCCAGGGACCGGACTGCTGAGGGCTGGAGGAAGGTCACAATGAATCCTTTTGATGAATCCTTCATCCTGTTAACATCTATGGGCTGTAGACCTTCTGATTTACAGCTTATGTGTGTGCGAGTGAACTTTTGCACTGGGTGCTGATGAGCCCCATATGTTCTCTTTTCCTCTTGCAGACAGCGGTGGTGCATTTGTTCATTATTGACTCAAATCTCTTCCATGTACTCATCTCTTCTCAGGACTTTGGGGGAAGCTTGGGAACAGCTCAAGAAGAGCCTAGCCAACGAAGCTGAAGTTCACCTAAAATTCTCCTCAAAGGTAGTTTTCTCTCACCACAGGCTATCAGTCACCTGGCACGACCTTTGCCTCTTGTGTTTAATCAGCATGTCGTGGCACCAGCATCTTACGTTGTTTTCATTTGGCCTGAATTTGGAATAAAGGGATAAAAAAACGATGTTTTATGACCAAGAAGAAGTTTAAGCAAAAGGAGGTCTGAAAATTTGCACAGTTCCTGGACCAAATTTAGCTTCCCTCCTTTATCCGCTCTGAGAGTTGGACCACACCTTACTGGTAAAATCACGCCCATCCAGAGTTGCTTCCTACATTGATGCTGAATCTTAATGACCCTCTCTGGAAAATCTTTTCAGAGGCAATGTTGTTTCTTGGCTTCTTCATCAGCTTAATTCAATGCGGAGGGTTAGGGGTGGGGACTTCTGCTGCAGATCAGCATTACAGCTGGACAGATGGAGGCTTGGGTGATGTTATGCCCCAGAGATGCACAGATGTTCAGCATTCCTCCAGACTGGAGTGAGAACAACAGTTTAGTTGAGTGACTGCAGGAAGGACCCTCATTCCTGATACCTGGTATCAGACACCACATTCCTTTAGGATCATGTAATCTGAGATGTTAGCACTGCAGCCAACAACATCTGTAATAAAAATGAATTTGTTGTGTTCTCTGTGTCCGGTTACTGTTGAGCTGAAGTTCAATGTCAGTGGGTCACTATTCTGATCTCTTTCCTGCTTCCTGAACAGCTTCAGAGTGAAGTGGAGAAACCTTTCCTGACATTCAGGGAGAACTTTAAGAAAGACATGAAGAGGTTAGAACATCACATAGCCGACCTCCGGAAACAACTGGTGGGACGCTATGCAGCTGTGGAGAAGGTAGGACCACCCCTGAACCTCTAACACTGCTTTGTTCTGTTTTTCCTTTTGGAACATTCATCCATCTATCAATCCATCTATTCATCCATCCAACATTCACCCATCTATTAATCCATTCATTCATCCATCCAACATTCACACACCTATCAATTCATCCATTCATCCATCCAACATTCACCCATCTATCAATCCATCCATTCATCCATCCAACATTCACCCATCTATCAATCCATCCATTCATCCATCCAACATTCACCCATCTCTCAATCCATCCATTCATCCATCCAACATTCACACACCTATCAGTTCATCCATTCATCCATCCAACATTCACCCATCTATCAATCCATCCATTCATCCATCCAACATTCACCCATCTCTCAATCCATCCATTCATCCATCCAACATTCACCCATCTCTCAATCCATCCATTCATCCATCCAACATTCACCCATCTATCAATCCATCCATTTATCCATCCAACATTCACTCATCTATCAATCCATCCATTCATCCATCCAACATTCACCCATCTATCAATCCATCCATTCATCCATCCAACATTCACACACCTATCAATTCATCCATTCATCCATCCAACATTCACCCATCTATCAATCCATCCATTCATCCATCCAACATTCACCCACCTATCAATCCATCCATTCATCCATCCAACATTCACCCATCTCTCAATCCATCCATTCATCCATCCAACATTCACCCATCTCTCAATCCATCCATTCATCCATCCAACATTCACCCATCTATCAATCCATCCATTCATCCATCCAAAATTCACCCATCTATCAATCCATCCATTCATCCATCCAACATTCATCCATCCAACATTCACCCATCTATCAATCCATCCATTCATCCATCCAACAGTCACCCATCTATCAATCCATCCATTCATCCATCCAACAGTCACCCATCTATCAATCCATCCATTCATCCATCCAACATTCACCCATCTATCAATCCATCCATTCATCCATCCAACAGTCACCCATCTATCAATCCATCCATTCATCCATCCAACATTCACCCATCTATCAATCCATCCATTCATCCATCCAACAGTCACCCATCTATCAATCCATCCATTCATCCATCCAACATTCACCCATCTATCAATCCATCCATTCATCTATCCAACAGTCACCCATCTATCAATCCATCCATTCATCCATCCAACATTCACCCATCTATCAATCCATCCATTCATCCATCCAACAGTCACCCATCTATCAATCCATCCATTCATTCATCCAACATTCACCCATCTATCAATCCATCCATTCATCCATCCAACATTCACCCATCTATCAATCCATCCATTCATCCATCCAACATTCACCCATCTATCAATCCATCCATTCATCCATCCAACAGTCACCCATCTATCAATCCATCCATTCATCCATCCAACATTCACCCATCTATCAATCCATCCATTGGCTAGCCCACTGTTGCTAACCACTAAACATTCTCCCTCTCCTGATAACGTTTTACTCTCTTTGACATAGAATGTGCTACGACTAGTTTACCGGTTTAATTAATTTTAGATTCATTAAAATAGAAACAATAAAGTTTATATCTCACTAAATAGAATATTTACTAAGAAATCACAATGCAGCCATATAAATACTACTTGTGTGTGTGTGTGTGTGCGTGTGTGCGTGTGTGTGTGTGTCCTCTGTCTTCTCCATCCCCAGTGAGTCGTGGTGATGGCTGCTTATACTGAGCCAGGATTCTCTGGAGGTTTCTTCCTGTTAAAAGGGAGTTTTCCTCTCCACTGTCGCTACACGCTTGCTTAAGCCTGATTCATGCTTCTCCGTCAGCTCCACAAGGGACAGACACGCACGGATTGACGGAAGCGTTTTGCCCTCATACTTCTCCGTCTCCTGGGGAGTGTTGCAAAGCAATTCCCCACCAGGACAGCAGAGGGCGTAGCGCTGTTCTGTGGTATCCTGTCATGAATCGGTCCAAGATAGTGTGTTTATATTATGTTTTTTGTATATGAGAGACTTTTTAACACAGACAAATTTGTCTCTCATCCTCCTCCACCTCTTCATGCGCTCGCCACCTCTAAACCCACGTTTCCTGTCATTTCTGTCCACAAATAAAACGCTTGCTGCGCATCTTCTCACTCCTCCAGTCACGGGGATTTAAACCTTCATATTTTAGAGTTTTTCCACGAGGTGTTCTTCAAGCTGCTCCATGTCTGCCGCTAGTTATCCTCGGCTCTCTTTATGTTTTTAAGGGCGGCGATGTAGACGACAGCGGCGTCCTGACCAATCACAAGCTTGCGTTGTCCGTCTCGACTGACGGATGTTTAGAAAAGAAAGCTCGACTCCGTCCGTCCTTGCGGAGCTCTCCAGCAGGCCCGCAAGGAAGTTGCGTGTCTCCGCACTGACGCAGACGGAGAAGCATGTCAGGCTTTAGTATGAGGAATGCTGTAAAGACTCTAACACTAGTCAGTGACTCGATGCAACCTGCTGGGTTCCTTATATAGGAAAAATTTTTTCTGATTGGCTTAATGAACTGACCTGTATTGGAATGTTTATAATGTGAAGTGCCTTGAGACGACTCTTGTCGTGATTTGGCGCTATATAAGTAAAAGATAGATTCACAGTTTCTTTGTTAAAGATGACGAGAAACATTATTTTAACCAAACAGCCACAAGAGCTTTATCTGAGGCTCTGAAGCCACGAGACGTGCCTTAGAGAGGGTGGCTTTACGCTACTCAAAGTAAAAACAAACAATGGGAATAAGACTGTATTATACAGAACAATGACTGGTTGGAGCACCTTGCCCAGTGACATTGCTGCAGCCAACAGTTTAAAATGATGCTAAAGCAGCATTTGAGTAACATCGCCTTAAATCCTGTGTTGAACCGTAACGTTGAATGGTATCTGTTAAATCTGGGCTGCCTAAGCCCTGAGAACATTAGTGTTTGTGGGTGTGCATGTGTGAGTAGGGGTGGGATGTTTTTGTTGTAGGTTGTTTTGTACGTTATTCTATGTTACATTACACTGACTGCAGGAAGAGTAGCTGTACAAGCTGCAGCTAACTGGGATCTAAAAACAAATGAAATGAAGCTTCAGCCTGATCCTACGTAGGGGAAACTTTACAAAGGAACTGATGATCCTCCAGATCTGGTCCACTGTTCCACAGTCCAAAGCCACATAGTTCCTCCTGAGTTTGGGGCTCAGCATCATTGGTCTGAGTCTTTGCCACAATCTGTAGTTGACTTTCTCCAAGAAGTTTAGCAGAAAGATACCCTGATGATTAAAAACACTCTTGTATGGACTGTTTTGGATTCCTCCACTAGTGGTGACAGACAATACCGGGATGAGAACCCCAAGTCCTTCCAGTCCATCCAAGTCACTGGTCTCAACAGATCATGATTTGGTCGTAGCTCAAGCAGTGTTTAACGATCATAAGTTACTAACAAAGTAACTTTTACTTCCAAAAAATACAAACACAAACAAGAGCGTAGGAGAACATGGAGGAAACCTCATCGGGAACCTCTTCCAGACATTCCCCGTTCACCCTTACTCCTTGTTTAGGTTTACCAGGTCAGTCCAGCATCCTCTCCACCGCCGAGTGATGAACGGGTGATGGTTAGATGTAAACAGACCGTGCCTTTTGATAACTGTGAAAGTTAAATAACTCCACAGAGCAACGAGTACAGGAACGTGTGCTACTGGATGTTTTCAGGACAGGATTCATTAGAGAAAATGCACTTTGATATCTCTTCTCACGCAGGCCCGTAAAGCTCTGGCTGACCGTCAGAAAGAGTTGGAGCTGAAGAGTCAGCAGATGGAGATGAAGCTCAGCAGTAAGATCGAGGAGGACATGAAGAAGGCTCGCAGGAAGTCCACACAAGCAGGTCAGAGGGTCCGTCCCGTGTCATGGTTTCATGCTGGTTGTATCGCGTTAAGGACAGCATTGTCCAGGTGAAGCTTCGTGTGGACAGCTCCTTCAGTTTTACACGTTTAACTCAACTCTGGTGTAATTATGGGTGAGACACACTGATCAGAGGAGTGAAAGAAGTCTTGATGCATCTCCTCTCTGCCCACCTGACTCCCCTCTGTGTGGCTGCTTGCTACTCAAACCCTGGCTAGTTTACTTCCAATAACTTCTGTAAATAAAACAAAGCATTCAGCATTTTGAAACGGTTTTCTATCCTTTCATGCAAACAAACTGCACGTCAAACATCTATTGGGACACTGACCTGGTGAGTTGGATCCTGCAAGTGTACGGTGTCTGTTGCTTTAGTGGGAGGAGCAAATATATTCCAGGGTGGGAAGGGGACAGCCGGTGGTTATGGCTCTCATTCATTGATGATGCAGCTGCTGGACCACAGACAGACTGAGATTCGCTTTCAGACGGGGGTGCAATCACCTTTTTACAGGGGAAAATGTTAAAGATGATGATTTGTTGACTATCTTGTTACAATTATTTCTTGGAGATTAAATTCCACATTATGGTTACAATACTGAAAAAGTTGATTATTATTATTATTTGTAGAGTGTTTAACTACATACTAGAATCAACACTGTTTGCTATCAGCTTTGTTAGATTCTGAGAAAAGATCCAAACGAGTTAATAATGAAGCTTCCATTATATATAAATATCTAGGATATTATATATTCGATAGAAGTTCATATGCCAACGAGCTTGGTCTATTTTTAATCCAAAGATTAATGTTTAATTTAAGATAATTAAATTTAATAGCAAAAGTTTATTTATTTAATCAGAAGTTAATAATCTTTGCTTTTTCAATAACCAAAAATACAGGTGCTGGCCAGTAAATTAGAATATCATCAAAAGGTTGAAAATATTTCAGTAATTCCATTCAAAACGTGAAACTTGTACATTATATTCATGCAATGCACACAGACCAATGTATTTCCAATGTTCATTACATTTAAATTTGATATTCATAAGTGACAACTAATGAAAACTCCAAATTTGGTATCTCAAAAAATTAGAATATTCTGAAAAGGCTGAATATAGAAGACACCTGCTGCCACTCTAATCAGCTGATTTACTCAAAACACCTGCAAAGGCCTTTAAAAGGTCCCTCAGTCTTGTTTTGAAGGCACCACAATCATGGGGAAGACTTCTGACTTAACAGCTGTCCAAAAGACAATCATTGACACCTTGCACAAGGAGGGCAATACACAAAAGGTGATTGCTAAAGAAGCTGGCTGTTCGCAGAGCTCTGTGTCCAAGCACATTAACAGACAGGCGAAGGGACGGAAAAAATGTGGTAGAAAAAAGTGTACAAGCTCTAGGGATAACCGCACCCTGCAGAGAATTGTGACGACAAACCCATTCAAAAATGTGGGGGAGATCCACAAAGAGTGGACTGCAGCTGGAGTCAGCGCTTCAAGAACCACCACGAGGAGACTCATGAAAGACATGGGATTCAGGTGTCGCATTCCGTGTGTCAAGTCACTCTTGAACAAGAAACAGCGCAAGAAGCGTCTCGCCTGGGCCAAGGACAAAAAGGACTGGACTGATGCTGAGTGGTCCAAAGTTATGTTTTCTGATGAAAGCAAGTTCTGCATTTCCTTTGGAAATCAAGGACCCAGAGTCTGGAGGAAGAGCGGAGAAGCACAGAATCCACGTTGCATGAGGTCCAGTGTAAAGTTTCCACCGTCAGTGATGGTGTGGGGTGCCATGTCATCTGCCGGTGTTGGCCCACTCTGTTTCCTGAGGTCCAGGGTCAATGCAGCCGTCTACCAGGAAGTTTTAGAGCACTTCATGCTTCCTGCTGCTGACCAACTTTATGGGGATGCAGACTTCACCTTTCAACAGGACTTGGCACCTGCACACAGTGCCAAAACCACCAGCACCTGGTTCAAGGACCATGGTATCCCTGTCCTTGATTGGCCAGCAAACTCGCCTGACCTTAACCCCATAGAAAATCTATGGGGTATTGTGAAGCGGAGGATGCAATACGCTAGACCCAACAATGCAGAGGAGCTGAAGACGACTATCAGAGCAACCTGGGCTCTCATAACACCTGAGCAGTGCCACAGACTGATCGAGTCCATGCCACGCCGCATTACTGCAGTTATTGAGGCAAAAGGAGCCCCGACTAAGTATTGAGTGCTATACATCCACATTCTTTTCATGTTCATTCTTTTCAGTTGGCCAACATTAGAGAAACAAACATTTTTTCATTGGCCTTTAGAATATTCTAATTTTCTGAGATACCAGATTTGATGTTTTCATTGGTTGTCACCTATAAATATCAAAATTAAACGTAATAAACATCGGAAATACATTGGTCTGTGTGCATTGCATGAATATAATGTACAAGTTTCACGTTTTGAATGGAATTACTGAAATATTTTCAACCTTTTGATGATATTCTAATTTACTGGCCAGCACCTGTATACACCATTCTGTGTTTCATTTCAAAGAAGAGTCAGGTTTTTAAAGTTAAGAATTTATTACTAACACTTTTAAAAAATGTCAATTTAGAAATGACAGTTTTTTAACAGACAATTTGATATTAAAACTTGTTTTAAAAAGCAAACCTTTGACTGAATGGAAACTAAATGAAATGCGAGGTTTTGGGTGCGTGAATGAATCAGAAGGTTTCTTTCAGTGAGAAGCGTTCTGGGTGAAAAGTTGGTTTTGCAGCTAACTGAGTCGTTTCTTAGATAAACAGCATACAGACGTCATCTGTCAAAAGTGTCTACCTCACCCAGTATCAGGAGAACCTCTTCTGCATCCGAGATGTCAGGTGGAGATGATGTCCTCCGGGCACGAGGTTGGTAGAAGGACCTTAGTGCGACCAAATCGGTCCTGAGATGTCTCCGTGGGTCACGCGACTGGTGGAACTATTAGCGTCTCAAAATCAATAACTCTGAAGGAGTTTTGCGTCAGCTGGTTACAGGTGTGTTTATTCGAAGCAAGACTATCGGCGTGACAGAATGCTTAGCGAGGCTGGGGCGGCCGTCCCTCGTCCTCTGGTGGGTTCAAGAACTGGCTTTTTGCTGCAGAAGATTTAGTTTTAACAAAACCCTCAGAACACGCCCTCTCCGCGTCAGAAAGCTTGGTCATGAAGTAAAGACATGTGAGATGGTTTAAACTTTACCCTGGATACCTCTCTGCATGAGGTGGTTAATGTGCAAGATGATCTTCTGGTTTACTGAACACACATTAGGATCATCAACAATAATTATTATTATACCCAAAGCATAATAAGTCATTTCAGTAATTAAAATACATTTATACTGAACCAAGAGATTATTTATGATGATTGTAATAACAGTAATAAAGTCAAAAGTTTATTAAAATTATTATTTAAAATTATTATTGTGAAATCTTGAAGTGTCCTTCATCTTGGGACGGATCAACAGCAGATAAAGATGTTGTTCAGCAGACATCATGGCTCCTGGCGGTTAATCTGTGGGGCAAAGTTACAGTCGACCCAGCTTAACCCAGCTGGGAAAGTTTGACCTTTGTTACAAATTAGAGGCCATTCATGACGCTACATATTTAATAAAATGCCTTCATTTTGTACAAAACCTGCTTGTTTCATGATAACCTCTAGCCGATTCAAAAACCCACAGTAAGTTTCTGAATCATAAATGATTCAGATCCATCAGAGCCGAAGCAACGAGACACTCCTGTTCAGCTAACGCCTCATATCGTGTGTGTGTGTGTGTGTGTGTGTGTGTGTGTACTTGTCTTTACATGCTTAAGTGGACACATTTAACTTTAACCTGTAGTGTGAGGACATTTCTACATTGGGGGATATCTGGCTGGTCCACACAATGACAAATACCCTTAGATGTGGTTTTAGAGGGATGGTGTGAAATAACTTGGTTTGGATTAGGTCAAGTATTCTTTATTCCGGACTCAGTCCAGTTCACAGGAGTGGAAATAACATTGTACAGATAAGATAACATGAAATGAGCGCAATATGACACACTAAAGCACACGATACAAAATAATCACGAAAAACAAAAACAAGAGACGACAGTAGTTGAAAATAAAGCTTCAATTATTGTGACTCTCTAATGTAAAACAGAAGAAGACTTATTCCAGTGTTTCCACACCTTTGACTGGTAACAGTGACACAGGCGCTGGTTAGATTTTAAACAATCACATGTTTAGAATTGTTCAGCCTACAAATAAATGTATAAATAATGTTTCTTCTGACAGCTTGTGGGTGCTCATCCTCGTATTTACAAAAGTGTTACCGTCATTCGTCCATCTGGGCTTCCTCAGTATCACAGAGCATCATTATAGGCAACCTGCAGCCTAGCATACTACATTTCTCATAGTTAGTCCATAGACAGGCCATGTACGGGGGTGAGTGTATTCCCCTGAGCGTAACATATGGCACTGCCTACACATGCCATCATCTCTCATGTCCTCTGTGATGATACGACCAAGATATTTTACCCTGTAGCGACACTAATCACAGAGTCTGACAGATACAAATCTGGAAACTTCATTTGCTCGTCCTCCGTGGCCCGGCAGGTCATAACCACACTTTTAGCTGCATTAGACATCGTGTTGTGCTCTACTCCATAGTCAGAGCAGATATATGGTAACTGCTGCAGACCAGCGGTGCTCGGACTTACAACCACCGAGTCATCTGCATGCATCAGATGGTTTATGACATCACCACCAGCTGCACAGCCAGTCCTGCAGGCCTTTAACCTCACTGATAAGTCATCCATGCACAGGTTAGAAAGAAAAGGCGATAGAGCGCCTCCTTGTCTGACTCCATTACTGACCTTAAAGGGCTCTGAGATACTGTTACCCCATTTGACCTGTAACATTGCTGACCATACCAATAAACCACGATGTGTTCAATGTACCTTGGGACACCTCTTTGCAGCAGCTTGATGAATA